TCTGTGCCTTCGTGAAGAAGTCCGCTAGCTGTAACTCGGAAGGTACATACTGAAGAGCAATAACATGATCCTGCACAGCAGCGCGCACGTAGGAAGCATCAACACCAATATGCTTGGTAAGCTCATGCTTCATGGGGTCCCGCGCAATGTTGATAGCACATGTACTGTCGCACAAGAGAGTGGTAGGTGTAGTAATAGAAACACCAAAGTCCTCCAGTAGCCATCGTAACCAAGTCACCTCTGCCGTCAGAAGAGCCATAGCTCTCAACTCGGCCTCAGCACTCGAACGGGAAACTGCAGTCTGTTTCTTCGTCTTCCAGGCAATGAGAGAACCATCAAGAAAAACACAGTAAGCAGAAAGTGAACAGCGATCCGAAGGATCACTAGCCCACGTAGCATCTGAATAGGCCTGGAGCTGTAATGAGCTAGAATGGAGGAAAAAGAGACGATGAGAGATTGTGCCATGAAGATATCGTAGAACACGAAGAAGGTAACTATAGTAAACTGAAGTGGGAGCGGAAACAAACTGGCTCAAAATATGGACAGGATATGAGATATCTGGACGAGTGACGGCAAGATAGACAAGACTCCCAACAAGATGACGGTAACGCGTCGGATCAGACAGGAGCTCGCCATCAGAAGCGCGAAGGTTAACATTGAGCTCCATAGGAGTCTCAGCAGTGCGCTCATCACTAAGAGCCGCACGAGCAAGAAGATCATGAATATACTTTTCTTGTGAAATATAAAAGCCATCAGAGGTGGAGGAAACCTCAATTCCAAGAAAGTAACGTAGAGGACCAAGATCAGACATAAGAAACTGCTCACTGAGACGGGCCTTAACAAAAGCAATGTACTCAGAATCATCGCCAGTGATGATCATGTCATCAACATATAGAAGAAGAAGAGTGCGACCACGAGCAGAAAGGTGGACAAACAGTGCTGGATCATGAGCGCTGGGCGAAAAACCAGCTGCAGTGACCACAGAGGCAAAACGCTCAAACCAAGCACGGGGGGCTTGCTTAAGGCCATATAGAGAGCGACGAAGACGGCAAACCATGCCATCAGGAACTGAATACCCAGGTGGTGGCTGCATATAAACTTCCTCACGCAACTCACCATTAAGAAAAGCATTCTTAACATCAAGCTGAGACACAGACCAGTGGCGAACAGAGGCCACGGCAAGAAGTGTGCGAACAGTAGTCATATGGGCCATAGGAGCAAAAGTCTCATCGTAATCACGACCATGCTCCTGCTGAAAGCCACGAGCCATAAAGCGAGCTTTATAACGCTCAAGAGAACCATCTGAGCGAGTCTTAATCTTATAGACCCACTTACAAGTGATGGGACGAACACGGGGAGGAAGAGAAACCAGGTCCCACGTGCCATTGCGCTCAAGGGCAGCAATCTCCTCTGCCATCGCAAACTGCCATTCAGGATGAACAATAGCATCTCGATAAGAAGTCGGCTCACGAACGGTGGAAAGACCATAGTGAGAAGGAGAATAACGGTCAGGGGCGGACAAGGCCGAGAACGAAGACCATAAGTCGGGTGAGAGGAGGAAAATGACACATCAGAAGTAGAAGGCACATCTGTAGACTTATCCACAAGACATGAACGACGAGTATAATGGAAAGGAAATGAGGGAAGAGGTGGAATCATTGAAGGTGGAGACGGGGAATGTATCGATGATGAAGGTGGAGAAGGGGAATGTATCGATGATGGAGGTGGAGAAGGGGAAGGTATCGGTGATGAAGGTGGAGAAGGGGAAGGTATCGACGATGAAGGTGGAGAGTCATGCGATGAGGGAGGAGAAGAAAACATAGGAGAGGACGGGGTCGGATCTGCAATAGCAGGACGAGGAGTAGGAATACTGGGCACAAAGGGTGGTGTATCTGGAAATGTAAGAAAAGAGATGTCCTCCGTAGAAAAAATCGAGCGGGATGGACGTGGGTAGAAGGGACGAGATTCATCAAAGGTCACATCCCGGGAAATACGCATTCGGCAACCGACAGGATCCCAACACCGATAGCCCTTATGCTCATTACTGTATCCAAGAAAGACACACTCAACAGACTGAGCGGTTAGCTTGGTGCGTTCATGAGGGGAAAGCAAAACATAGCAAATGCAACCAAATGAACGGAGCGCCGAATAATCAGGAGAACGACCAAAAAGATGCTCGAGAGGAATACCACCCTGTAGAGCAGCAGAAGGTTGAATGTTGATGAGATAGGTGGAAGTGGTAACAGCCTCGGCCCAGAAGTGAGGCGGAAGAGAGGCAGCAATCATCATTGCACGCGCCGTCTCAAGAAGGTGACGATGCTTGCGCTCAGCCACACCATTCTGAGCATGAGCACCAGGGCAAGAGAACTGAGTAAGAGTACCCTGCTCAGCAAGAAATCCTCGCAGTGCATGGGAGATATACTCACCAGCTGAATCTGCGTGAAAAACACGAATATGAGTGGAAAACTGGGTATGAACCATGGCGGCAAATTTTTTGTATATAGGTAAGACCTCACTACGAGAAGACATGAAATAGATCCAAGTGTACCGCGAAAAATCATCTATAAAGATAATATAGTAGCGATGAACCCCTTTCGAAGCGAAGGGAGCTGGACCCCAAACATCAGAGTGAATGAGATCAAGAGGACGCTCGAACACCGACTCACTGTGAGGGTAGGGTAGCTGAATCTGCTTACCAAGCCGACAACCCAGACAATCCAACGAAGCATTACCAGAGACAGACCCCAGAACACCGCGATGAACCAAAGATGAGAGACGAGAACCACATAAATGGCCAAGACGATGATGCCACTGCTGAAAAGAGCTGGTAGATGCAGCTATAGGGGGTGCGAGACTGGCGGCGGTGGCAGCGGAGGGAAGACGAAGCCAGTCAAGCTCCCAGAGACCATCAGAGCGTCGAGGGCCAGCACCAAGCAGAGCGCCCGTGTGACAATCCTGAATAGAACATGAATCAATGTCGAGAATGACCCTACAACTAGAGTCAACAATCTGACCACCAGATATGAGCTGCATGGTAAGTCGAGGAACATGAGCGACAGAGGGAACATGAAATGAAGAAGTGCTAAGAGTGCCTCGACTAGCTACAGGGAGGGGAGTGCCATCAGCTGTAAGAACACAAACATGAGACTCCATAGGTTGAACAGAGGTCAAAGTGGAGGAATCATAAGTCATATGAAAAGACGCTCCAGTATCAAGAATCCATGAGGATGTACCTGAATGAGTGGAAGGTGGTTTCTCGGTGCCAGAAGAGTTAGCCACAGAACCTGTAGAAACCATCGGTGAAGAATCCCAAGCATCAAGCATGCATTTCAGCTGTGCAATCTCATGCGCAGACAAGGACACGACCGAAGAGGTCGTGGTAGAAACACCTGCCGATGATGAGCAGTCGCCTCCACCCGTGGAAGCTGCATGCAGAGTCGACCGGGAGTAGCGAGTCGACGTAGAGCCGCATGAGAAAGCCACTGAGGGTGTCAACGTAGAGCGGTCACCGCCAAACGCGGAAGCCGCGAGAGGAGTCGACGTAGAGCGACAATCACCAGGTGCGGAAGTCGTTGGAAGAGTCGACGTAGAGCGGCCACTGCCGTGCACGGAAGCCGGAAGAGGAGTCGACGTATAGCGACCAACACAGCCTGTTGAAGACTTTGAAAGGGACAACATCGCAGACGGACATGCACCAAGCACCGAGCGATAGCGCATGTGCGAGACTGGATCAATATAGGAAACGCCTTCGAAAGTCTGTGGATGGCGGCGAAGACGCATGCCCGACCGAAACATCATGCCAGTTTCTTTTTCTTCCATTTTTTTGTGACAACAGCAGAAAGATCAGGCAACAGCCGAAGAATCAGGCCTCAGGCCAACAGCCGAGTCCCAAAGGCAGCACCCCAGGCCAAAAACGAAGCAGAGCAACTGCGGTGACTCGATTCAATCCAGCAGACGAACAGCCGAGGCGGAGCAGTTGACCTCCGATAGCTGCTGCCTTTGCTTGATCTGGAGAGCTCTCGATCTGGAGCGGATGGATGCCTGGACACGAAACAACGGCAGCTATGAACGCATGCGCGACCACTCGAGCGCCCGCGGACAGCAGCGGAAGGCAGCTGCGGCGTGGACGAGGCCGATGGCCGACAGCGCCGCGGAAGGCAGCAACGGCGCGGAGGAGGCCGGCGGCGCCGCGGAAGGCAGCAGGGGCACGGACGAGGCCGGCGGCCGGCAGCCGCGGAGGAAGACAAACAGCCGGCGGCGACCTTGGAGGAATACAAGCGGCCAGCGGCTTGATCGATCAGGACACACTCCGATAGGATCCAACACAGCGATGGATCAGCTAATTAGCGCGTGTAGCTGGAGATGGACGTATGCCAAAGCAAAATCATGGCCGGCAGGAAAGAGAGCAACGGCGGCCGTGCAGGAGATTGGATCGAGAGTAGCACGAGTTGCGACGTGTGAAAAAAATACCTAGAGCTCTGATACCTAGAGCTCTGATATTATTAGGAGGCCAAAGGCAACATATATATAAGTACATGAGGATGCCAAAAGGCTAGAATGCAAAAGACCAAAAGTCATCACTAATATAACTCTAACCGTATACAGATAAGACAAAAACAAATTGACGAAAAATCCCTCGAAGGAGATAATAAAGAACCCAAAGCAGATGGTATCCTACTGCAAGGATGGTCTTAAGAATTCAAAAGAGGTTGCTCAGAAGAGATAGATGTATCCCAACCTCTATTGCTCTCGCGTAAAGGCTTCTTTTTACGCGACAAGAAAAGGTGACTATGAATTCCCCTTTTTGTTTGCGAATCCCTGTTTGTATCCTTTGAGCGCACGCTCATTAAGTAGCGACCAAATCAAGGAAATCAATCTATAAATGCAATATCATCAGATTTATCACGAAATACCTTTTCATAAGGTATATAGATATGTAGGGTTTAGGAATTATAGTCTTGCACTTTCTTAGCAAAAAAAACATATGCATAAGGGGATACTCAAACCAACTGACGCCTTGCAGGTAAAATGTATTTCCCTTTTCCCTGGCCATCATGTCTTTTGGCCAAACCAGCATTCTCTCTTTTGGCCAAACCAACATCCTCTCTCTTGGCCAAAACTGCAGGCATTCTTGCACCATCCGATTTTGCCGCAATAGCACGATCATCAGGGCACTGAAACAGAATAATAACACTTCAGTAAAATTACTGACAAGTACCAATCCCACAAGATATAAACAGTACCTTGTATATATATCTTATCCTAGCCTCCTCATCCGCCAGCATATCCTCCTCATTCTGGATGTATTCAGGTACCCCTCGATCGACCAAACCGTACCCTACTTTGTGTGGGTGAGAGTGGCGACCTTTATATTTATCAGCATTGACAGGGTGCTTCAAATCAACATTTCCGTAATTCATACATTCATAGCATCGGCCTTAGGAAAAAAAAACATGTGTAGACAGTTACTACATATGTCTGGGCATGAACTAGCTTAGATATTAAAACTACAGTAAAGCTAAGGTAAACATGACACTAGGGGAAACCAAATGACATCTACCATACAAATGTGAGCACGAACCGTATGAACAAAACTTAACGTAAGGCGGAAGAAATACCATTGTCATTGCGTTTCACCATACAGAAACAATTGAGCACATATTCAGCACTTTCGCCTTTTATTTGTGTGACTTCAGCAAAGAATAGATTGTTGATGCCACCGTGAAAATCATCAGCTCCTTTAGTCTTTGTAGTAAAATTGAGATGATAGTACATACTGAGGCAGCCAATCTCCCCCATATAAAATTCTTGGAAGCACACAACACCATCAAGTTCATATGCAAGATCCTGAAAAGGAGGCATGGATTGTATCAGCAACTAGTACATGAATATAAGACAATTAACACAGCCCTGGTAATAGGACAGAGACTGAGGGCAAGGAGGAGGGAGAGAGAGCAAACCCCTAAAAGATGGTGATCTTCATTGTACTTGTCCAGTAAAGCTTGAACCAATCGGCTGATATTCCCAGGTTTCGGATTGTCTTTGGAAGACATCTTCCTTGTGCCATCAGGCCAGTAAAGGCAATATCGAACCGCTATCTCCGCCTCCGAAAGCCCATCCTTGCGCCTAGTTCAGGTCAGAGCATTCTATATGTTAAAAACATTGTAATTTCTGACATGCGAAAATCCATGATAAAGTTGAGAACATTCACATTATTGGAGAGCGCAGGTCGTCGAGATGGCTAGCGATAGCATCCTTGGCTTCTTGCAAGCTCCGGAATGGCCCACCCAGAGGAGGATACGTGTGGAAAGAACCCACAAGGTCTGTTCTGATGAAAAACTGCAAATGCCAACCAGAAAAGTAAGGAGCCAAAATAGGTGGAGACGAGTGCCTTGACGTTGGCGAGACGTCATGAGTCACCGCCTCTGCCTGCGTGGAGGAAGAGGAAGTGTTGGTGTTCTTTGGCTCTAACGGCCCCGCGGGCACATCATGATAAGGGTACTCATATCTGAAATGGAAACATGATCAGAAGGTTGGTAGACAAGAAAGTTTAAAACTATGGAGATGAATAATTCCATAGTATGATGGATAAAATAGAAAGAATGGAGCAAGAGTCACATACGTACCGTCGGCCTCGAGGCCGCCACTGTTTGCCGGGAGGAATAACGCTTTTGCAGATGCCGGTTGCTCCCGTCTGAAGCAGAAGAACACAAGCTCGATGAGTTACGTCGATAAAGAACAACTTATTCATCAACTAACCATCTACTGAATAATATAGCAACCGGCATAGCAGAGTAGCAGACGCAACAACTAGTTGAAATCGAAAGCTAGCTAGTAGATCATGGTTAAGTTTGGATATAGCTGAGGATTGCACATTCCTTTGTGTAGATGTGGTAATGGGAGTGAAGACGAGGTGCCACGAATTTGGCCATGTTGCTTGAGAGACAGTGGCTGGCTCGTAGAAACATAGAGGAGCGAGCGAGAGAGGGATGAAGTTCATACCGTGGGGGCTGCGGCCAACTGCGGAGCCTCGCCTGGACGCCGGCTTCCACGTTTGCACCCGCTACGCGTCGAGGCATCCCGTCTGCTCCGGCGGGGACATAGCGGCCGCCGGGAGGCATGACGGGAGGGGGTTGGGCAGCGGCGCCCCGCCTGGACGTCGGTGATGGCTTCTCTGCAGAGACGGTGGTTGTCGCGGCGGCGCAAAGAGAGCTTTCGTGGGGAGACGAGGAGAAAAAAGCAGACGTGTGCTGTACTATTTGTTCTTCATGTTTTGCTTGGAAGCGGAAACGGACACAGACCTCTCGGAAAGCAGGACGGAAACGGATACTTGCCAGAAACGAGCACGGAGCAAATACGGTCCGACACGGATACGAAAGCGGATGTTTGCTCCAACCAAGGCCCTGTTCGGCGACCCTCTGCTCTTCGGAGCGCGCAGAGTGCCCTTTCAGCGACTCTCCAAATTTAAACGGAATGCTGCTCCGCTCCGGAGCGTAGTTGGAGAGGGGAGAGTGTCCGAACAGGCTCTAAGAGACCCCTCGAATCATCATGCGTAAAAAGTGGTAAAGCACGAGCGACAACCAACAAACTCGTTCAATTGCTAAGATGACTATGAATATTATGACACATCGCTTCATGGTGCACCATCAGTTCATCATGACTGGTTCTTCTTCATGGACGGCCGGAAGACACCGTTGACACGACACCAGCGTTGCAGCGTCGACGATGAATCCCTGAATCCCGTTTTGGTCGACGGGTGCAGGCGTGTGCGAGCAAGAGGCAGCGCATGACCCAGTGTGGCAGGGTAGGAGCACAATCAGGATTCGGCGCTTACGCCAATGGTCCTGAATCCTGGTGGTTCCTTCAAGGTGTTGGCGTGGAACCACAATGTGATCAGATAAAAACAATAACACAACTTGAAATAAGACATCTATTAACAGTGTGTGCTCAGGAACACAAGAAAAAGGCTATGAGATGTTACTGTTGTGGTGTTGGACCATCCACCCTCATATATAAAGAAAAATCGTGCGAGAAGAAACATGAGAGATATTAAGTCACAGCAAGACTTTTGAGGAGCGGCTTCGGATGGTCGGAAGAAAGGTCATCTTGATGCGCTTCTTTTTTTTTTCTTTAGCTGCGGAGCTCGCAAGACCCTACACTGCAAGGTAAAAGAACACAATCATGCATATTCTCTTAAAACCTACTCCGCGAGTTGATATGGCCAGAATACGTTGTACAGAAACATAACAAGGTATTTACCTTTTTGTGTAATGTCCACCAAGGTATGTGTCAATTAGCCAGGATGCATCCAGGACTGCAATTTGTGGTCAACAATGACGAACAGAAAGAGATTTGCCGTGGGCTCAATGTCCATGTATTGCCACTGTTCCCCTTCTACAGAGGTGCAGAAGGCCGTATCTCTAGCTTTAGAGTGCGAGCCAGTAGCCAATGTGCAGCCGCAGTAGCAGTGACCCAGCCGCCTTGTGGGTGGTTCTTCGTAGGAGGGCAGCCATCGATAATCCCCTTGCCATCAGCATTGGGTATATCTTTGCATGGGAAAAAAATCACTTCCTCCTATTATCCTTCATGGGGAATTGACTGGATGAAATAATTTTCGACAAAATAGGTTGTTCATATCCTTCAGTCTTCCTATCAGTACTGCTCAAATTGCTTATCACAGACCACTGCATCTCAAAGTTGGGCACGTGTCCTGCTTGCTGCATGTCATGCAGAAGTCCTGCGGCTTCCGGTGTGTTGTTACACCTACGGTAGTTATCAAAAACAGTTCTATACATGCCAAAGGATGCTGCAGACCCAAAGGTCCTTAGCATTTCCAAAATCTTCTTAGCATCACTGGTTCTTCCCATTGAACAAAGGCCACGCATGAGCACATCACAGGATCTCTCACTTGGTTTTAAGTTCTCCAACTGCATCTCAGCAAGAAAATCAAGTGCCCGATCAAATTCTTTCAATATACATAGCCTGTATATGATAGAGCTGTAACTAGCTTCACTTGGAAGTCTACCATGCTTCAACATTGTATTTATCAGATTAACAGACATTTCCACGTCACCCTGTCTGCAGAATTCCTTGATTAGCACATCAAAACTAATGTAAGATGTAGTTAGTGCACTTCTGCTCAGGTTGTTCAGACATGATTTTGCTTCAAAATTTCTTCCAAATGAAAGGAGAGCTGAAATGAGAGTCAATTCAATGACTAAACCATGCTTCCATCCACTGCCCTCAATCAGATGAAATAACTGCAGTGCTTTCTCGAGGTTCCCTAACATGCAGTGGTGACTCAATACTATTCTGAGACTGCGGTTGGTTGGTGTTAATCCCTGAGCAATGCCAGCATCAAGCATAGTAACTGAACGATCGGTATCTCCAGACTTGTGAAAGCCATAAACAAGGAAATCATATGTTGTTTTGTCTGGAGAAATACCGTTATCTTTCATATCCTTCAACAAATCATGAACCTGCAAAATGTTTCTTCTTTTCAAAAGACAGAATAACAGAATGTTGTGTAAAATCAGATCTCTTGACTTGTCACTGTCTTGGATCAGCTCCTTAAGGCATAATGCCCTAGAAAAGTGACTCTGCTCACACATTCTGCGGACAAGAAGGCGGTAGCTAGAAATAGAAATGCTAGCATGTATCTTTAGCATGATACAAAGAACTGCATCTACTTTTCTCCAATTGTTTAGACAACAATATGACTGAAGGATGGAATTTAGCAATTTGTCACTTGATTTCTTCCCTAAAGTGGATGCTTCAACAACTGATATTGCCTGGCTTACTTTTCCTGTATGCAGTAATTCGTTCACAATGCAGCTGCAAGCTGGGACATCAGAACATTCTGTTTTCAGCATAGACTGTACCAAGTCCTTGCATCGTTCTGCATCAAACCATGCTAGTGAAGAGAATGCAAATTGGTGGGTAAACACAGCTGATACAATGTTTCTGTGAAGGCAGATGTCATACAGTCCAATCGATTCGACAGTCTTCTGCTCCTTTAGGAAGCCCTCTGCCACATTAAGAATCAGTGAATGGCCCACATCCACACCCTTTTCTAGGAGGGCCTCCAGCATCGCACATCCAACATTAGTGTAACCTGTTCTGCATAACTCTTTGAGAAGTGCACAATATGCACTAAAAAACAAATTTGGATAGCAGTCGAGCAGCGCGCTTATAAGCTGCAAGGCTTCCTCCATTACTCCCCATTTGCACAAGTGACCGATGAGGGCCATCAAATCCTTCTTGTCAGGAGACCAACTAAACTTTGTTGCAACATTCCAACACTCCCAAAACCCTGCGATGTTCCTTTCTGTACAGAAGCCTAAAAGCAAATAAGTATATGTATCTTGATTGACTGGCAAGCCTCTTTTGAATAACCTGTCCAAAACTAATCTTGCACGAGCTGACATCTCATTCTTACTCAGTGTTTGGACGACTAAATTTAGAGTTTGAGCATCCAATTTATCAAATGTATATGGCATTTCCTTCATAAGGTCAATAACATCCATAACATGCGCAGGGCTTGCGCACAAGGACTTGATTAGTTCTGAAGAGCTAGCTGGTGAAATGTAATGTCCCCATTGAAAAGCCTCATTTTTCAGCAGAAGAGCACTTGCAACATTGCCTTGCTGACACGCACTGACTATCTTTGAGTTAATATCTAGGTAAAGAGCATTATCAAGAATCTGTACCAATGAAATCTCAAGCCTTTGGGAGTCAGTGTCCAAATACAGGCCATTGCCTACTGAATCAAAAAACTCAGCTTTCGGAAAGCCAGTGGCATTATCTCTCTTGACCTTCACTCCTAAGTGGTCTAGCCCCAGGAAGGATAAGGCCTTAGAGAGCACACAATTTCCAGATGGAAGATCATTTGCACCATTAGTCTCCATAGTTCTCAAGATATGTTCTATATCATCGAACTGCCTATACTTGCAATATCCTGCCAGAAGTATCCTGTATGTTATAAGTTCTGGCATTATTTTTCTTTCAATCATGTCTTCAAGGATATATTTTGCATGTCTGTACAATCCCTCTGTGAAAACACCACCTATAATAGCATTATAAGCACAAACTTTAGGTTCGATATGTCTAGAAAAGCACTCAGATAAATAGAGGAATGCAGCTTTGAGTTTCATTTCTCTACAGCTATGGCATATGAAAATGCCAAAGGTTGTAGCATCTGGGGCAAATCCTAAGGACTCTAATCTTTGCAAGACAAAGCATGCCTCGTCAGTACCAAGATTTGTGCACAAAGACGCAAGCATCCGATTGCAAAGACGCAGCTCAGGTAAATACCTCCACTCTTCCAAGAAATTCATCATATCACCAATATCCTTCTTCTTGCAAAATTCTTTTGCGACAGTTGACAAGGATCCCTTGCTTATTTCAATGTTCAAGCTCTTTAGCTGCCGAATTATACGAATAGCCTGTAAGAATTTGTCTCCCTTGACTAAAGCATTGATGACAAAATCAAGAATATCTCCTTCTGTGCAAGAGCCTAATCCAACTTCAAGCATGTCCAAATATACTTTTAATACTAACTCCTCTTTTCTCCTTCTGACCAGACGATTTAGAAGTACTTGATAGCATGAGGCTGAAGGAATCAAACACTTGGACCTTGCACGATCAAAAAGTGCCACTGATTTGTCGAGGTGGCCAGCTTCTGAATACATCTGGGTAATCTGACTGAACAGTCTACTCACATCGGTCAGAGCCCTGTTGTCATCCAGCAAGAGAAGCAATGATTCAGCTTGGCTGAGCATATGAGCATCTGCAAGTATCGACACCATGATGTCATTCGACCTTGGAAGATGTCGGAAGTCCTTGCTCTGCCACGAAGCCCACCTATACAAATTCCACAGAAATCTTGCGTTCCTAACTTCTGCTGCACCTGGTCCCAAACCGATCAAAATGTCAAGAAAATCCTCAGGCCTCAGCCGCGAAGCACGCCAGAACCTGCGGAGGGTCTCCGGTGAGAGCCAGAGACCAAGCTTGAGAACATCCCGCAAGCTGCAATTCCCTTCAAAGGTGTCCCTTCCAGTGTCAAAAATGAAAGAGCACTTGGACACAATCAATTTCCCAATACCAGGGCCCAACTTTGCTGCCAAATGGACATCAGCCTCGCACTTTTCCCCAATTTCGTGCTCCACACTAAATCCGGCTTCCTCTGAAGCTCCAGCGACGGCTGAATTGCAGAGAGAGGTGCCTTCTCTCTTCCGCAATGAGTAGTAGCGTTCACCATCGAACAAGCTCCCTTTGTTGGAGCTCAACTCCGGAGCATTATTGGCATAACCTCGGTGTCCAATCTTGGGCTCTCTCCTTAGATTCGAGCTGGAAGTGGTTGAAAATGAAATAAAATTAGTGTCAAGCAGGAACAGCAGTGCCGTTCTGGAGCAAAGAAGCTCTGTCTCTGACGCACCTTGGTCGACGACGCCGTAGATGGATTGCTCGGCGCAACTGCCACGCCTTCCACATGTGATTCCCCCCTATACTTCGCGCGCGGTTGGGGCCGCCGCATCGCTCACCCGCCGAGGCTGGTGGGCGGACCCATTAGCGCGCCGCCTTCCTCCTCTTCCCGTATTCTCCGGAGACGGGCCGCGGCGGCGACTGTCAGGTTGGGCGTGCTGGTGAAGGCGGTGCCGCGAGGTCGCCGCGCGCAAGGAGTGGCGGAAGATAGGGTCCGGGCGGCCGGAAGAAGGAGCGCGGGAGCGGGGGTGGGGGTGACGGCGGAGGTCGTCGGGGTGATCCCACCCGGCGAAGATGGCCGGAGTTGGGCAGTGGAGCTGCTGGGCCTGGCGCAGGAGGTCGTCGGGCTGCTTCTTTCTGATGTTTTGGATAACAACAAGGCCCACCAACAACACAACGAGGCCCAATTCAAAACCGACACGAACGCGCGCCGCTATCCCGACAAATACTACAAATCGCTTCCGAATCTCCCGACGAGCGCCGACCACCATGGGCACGAAGACGAAGGGATCCTTCCCCGCCTATTCTTTCCAGCCCCACGCCGTCGACGAGGCAGCCGGCTACCCCAGCTCGGTTCTCCTCGACAGCAAGGCCTACTTCGCCGACCGCGAGAACGGCACCCCCGCGGAAGCTCGGTCGATCACCGGCCGGCCGCACCTTGAAGGTCACCTTCTGCCTCGCGGATCCGCCGGCCGTCTCCCACTTCTGCGTGCACGGCCCCGGGTTCAACAGCGAGGACTACGTCGCTGAGCCCCGGGTTATATCCTCGGACAGGAACCTCGTCCTCCTAGGCTTCGGCTTGGCCGCCAGCCCCCGGAGCGACGTGCAAGGCCGTGATCACGCCGAGTACTTCGTCTACAAAGCTGGCCGCGGCGGCAGGCCATCGCTCACACCGATCCCGGCCACTCCCCCAGGCATCAGGAACACATGGAACGTCGGCATCGTGTCGTGCGACGACGAGGGGGGATTTCTCCTCGCTGACCTCATGCATACAACGACTGCCCTTGCAAACTAGAGTGTCTGACAAAAAACTACCATAATTAAAGTTCGCATCTCACAGAACTACCATTTTTTAAAAAGTGATTGATATCTTCCAAAAAATTAGAATCTTGTGACTAAAAACTTCCACTTTCAGAAAATGACCAGTTTAAAAGATTTAAATGTGTTTATGACATACGGGGCCCGTTTGTCAGGGCTGACGTGGTGGAAAAGTCAACTCCGTTTACTTTTTACCATTAAGTTGACTGTTATGACAGATGGGCCTCACGCGTCAGTATCTATCTTCTTTTTCCTCCTCCTACATCTCTTTTAGGCATTTCAACAAACACCTCGTCGGCAAGCACTGTTGTTGTCCTTGTCGCACACCCAGAGGTTGCCGAAGTCGACGATGATGGAGGCAGCGCCGGAGCAGGTGCGAGACGGCGGCCGCGAGCTCCTCGGACGCCTTCTTCCCAGGCACACGAGGCGCCCCGCCGTGCCGGTCCAGCGCCTGGCCGTGGTGATGCTCCGCTGCCCCACAACGCCCGCGCGGCGGATCTCGTCGCCCACGGCGGCCGCCGCTGCTCGCGCTCTTGCTCCGCCGCCGCTCCTCGTGCCTTCCCGCCGCAATCGGCCACCGCGTGCCCATGCGCCGTCGCCGCATCTGCTGCCCGCGTAGCCGCCGCGGCGTGCTCGTGCGCCGCCGGGCAACATCAGGGTGGGGGCAGGGGCAGCTGCTCGTGGCTGTACGTGGCCTCTACTGCTGTTCATTGCCGTGTGTGGCCGCGGCTATGCGTGGTCACAGCTGCTGCTACTGCTTGTCCCCATGTGTGCTCCTGTTGTTGCTAATTGATGTGACCTTCGCTGCTGCTCACCTTTGCTGGCCGTGAAGTTCTGGAGGCAGCCCTTCTTGCCGGCGGCCTGCGGAGATGCTCGGGATCTGCCGTGTCCAGCAGCCGCACTTGCCAGTGGCGTCAGCTACCTCCACGCCCGACGCAATGGTGAAACTCTCCTGCTTTTCTTCCATGCACGGAAGGTGTTCGAGGAAATGCCAAAAAGAAAGAGAGGATGAGGAAGAAGAAGGTTGATGCGGGCCCAACCTGTCATAACATTCAGCTTAACGGTCAAAATAAAAGGAGTTGACTTTCCTGCCACGTCAGCCCTGACAGACGGGTCCCGCATGTCATAAACACATTTATATCTTCTAAACTGACCATTTTTTCGAAAATGGTAGTTTTTAGTCACGAGATTCTAATTTTTTGGTAGTTACCAGTCACTTTTAAAAGTGGTAGTTCTGTGGGACGCGAACCTCAATTGTGGTAGTTTTTTATCAAACACTCTTGCAAACTATGATCTCACCGTCTTTTCATCCAAGACTGCTACGTGGACCACCAGGAAACTGCAAGTGCAGGCGCCGCTTAGCCGCATCAGGGTAGATGATGTGCTCATTGCACCTCACAAGGTGGTCACGCTTGGCGGAGGCATGGTGGCATGGGTCGACCTCTAGCGCGGCATCATCGTTTGCAACATTCCCGAGAAGGAAGCCGACCTCTTCATCTATTTCATCCCACTGCCCAAGCCCGAATTCAACTTGCCCCGAAAGGGCGACCCAACACGGGTCCGGGATGTCACCTTTTGCAATGATGTCATCAAGTTTGTCGAGATGGATCATCATCTTTATAGACAAGAGGGTGTTACCAAGAGGTTCAAGATGACAAAGGATCTTGATAACATAGATAGGCTGCACGATGTGGACATTCTCCTCACTCCACATGATGACTTCATAGGAGCACATGATCAACAAGAGCAAATCAATAATATTAGTGATGGTTGGAAGGTCCGGACATGTTATAGGCATCTTTCCTGGGACCATTGGTTCAAGAGACACGTTGTTCATGTCGACGACATCTTGGTTGATGATGCCCTGAAGCATTATGTGTTGTCGCATCAGCGGTGGGATGATTTTGCTGAAACATTGGCGTTGAGTAAGATGTGGGATGGTAATGTTGGAAGAATAACATTGAGGAACCTTACAACAAATTTCCCGATCCTCAACACTAACGGGGACGATGTTGTCTACATGATGGCGAACTTTCATGAAAATAATTACTGGATGATTGGTGTTGATCTCCGGAAGAAGACCGTGGAGATACTGAAACCATATTCTGCGGAGAGAGCCTATCATTTCTAACAGATATTTCTGTCCTCTGCATTCCTACAATATCTTAATACTTCTCCAAGGCAAGTCTCTTTGGATCCGTATGCATTGTTTTAATTTCTTCATCTTTTCATACTAATTATTTTACGTGATGATTATGATATATGGACATATTTGCTTCCTTGATATTATGTAGTGCGGATAAAGTCATCAGTGCATCAAAAGGGCCTCAGAATTATCAACATACACCCGGAAGTATTACTCAAAACAACGAGGTATGTTGTGAGTGCGGCGTTTCGGTGCCCAGACTCATCTGCATCCGTTCAGGAAAAAAATGGCAAAAAATTAAAAAAATTCCAATCTTTTTTTTCATGGTAGAAATATTATCACGTGAGTTCCGCTCCAAATTTGAGATCATTTGGACTTATGAGAAGCTCTCAGCAAAAAAGACAAATCAGGTCAGAACAGTGCATGAACAGTAAACATTTTTACAGACCCCAAATTTATCTTTTTTGCCGAGAGCTTCTCAGATGTCCAAATGGTTTAAAAATTGAAGCATACCCCACGCATCAAATTATCTACCACACACAATAAATTTGGAATTTTTTGAATTTTTCTAATATTTATTTTGATTTTTTTCCATAAGGGCAGGTGCAGCTGAGCCTGGGTTCAGAAGTGGATTACGGGTATGTTGTAATCATACATGGCCTGTACCAAGGTAGTTCTGATGAAGATGCTCATGGTGCACCTAGACTACAACAATAGCAATTACCAACATCCAGTGTCGGGGCAGTCAAATTTACCAACAAGGCACACACCCAGGCAATGCCAATGTTGCTTTTGTCGAGGGTTGTCTTCGTCCAATGCATGCTAGCCAATCAAGGTACCCCGTGCCAGTGGTTTACACCGACGCCCATGGCCAATCATGGCTCGCAGTGCCACCGGGGCAGGGGTCGCCACAACTTGCTTCTCTGGTGCCTCCGGGATGGGCACCCCTGAATCGGCACAAGCGGAGCAACACGGAGGCAAATGCCATCCGATTACCATGGCAAAGACATCAAGTGCCTGGTAGAGTTACTTTAGCATGAATATCTTGCATAAACCGAGTGCAGTGTTTCTGCTCCCAAGCTCATCTGCATCCCTTTTTGATGAAAAAAATCAAAATAAATACTAAAAAAATTCAAAAATCTAAAAAAATGTATGGTAGATAAGTTTATGTGTGAGGTGCGCTCTAAGTTTCAACTCATTTGGACATCTAAGCAACTCTCAGCAAAAAAGACAAATTCAGGGTCTGTAAAAAAGTTTACTATTCACACATAGTTCTGACCTGATTTGGATTTTTTTTGCTGAGAGCTGCTCAGATGTCCAAATAAGTTAAAATTTGAAGCGAACCTCACACACAAAATTGTCTATCACACAAAAAAATTGGATTTTTTTTGAATTTTTTGAATTTGTTTAAATTTTTTATGACCGGGTACAGATGAGCCTGGGCACCGAATTGGGTTTTCGGTATAAATCTGAGTTCTAAGTAAACTAGCTTCACACAGTTAGCATTGTATCTAGCCAACATAGATCTGTCGCATTCCCGACAAATTTCTAAAGCCGTTCTAAAGTGTGGGAAATTGCTCTGGCAAGCTCACACCAACCATGTACTTAAAGGAAGTTTTTTTTTTTGAGAAATCACCGGGGTAGGAGTTCCTCCACCTGAATATATTACTCAAAATGGCCAAATGGCAATAGAGTGATTCAATATATACAAATGGATCAAAAACCTATAAATGAAGAATTTACAAACACATATAACCAATTTCCCTCTCATTAGTGCGCGTAGTTTCCCTCTTTGCAACAGTTTTGCGCACGCCAACCTTTTTTC